AAAAAGAGTCTATTATATTTAAACCAGCTTGTGGACATAAAGAGGAAAACCTAATTACGTGGAGACAGCTCAAAAGTCTTCTAGGTTTGTTATCCAAAGGAAAAAAGCCAAATGGTTTAGTGAAATAGAAGAAAAGATACTAAAAACATGAACAAGTAGAGAAATACATAACCAATACAAGATTAGTGACTACAATACACAGGCACTAATAATTAATTAGACAAAAATATCAGAGGACAGAAGGAAGAGAGAGTGGATCGTACATGGACCAAAGCATAATCAGCAATTCAGCAAAATATCAATGAAGAAAAAGAAAAAGATTCTTGCTGAGTACTGGCTATTATAAAAAATAGAAGATAAGACATATACTGAGATAATTAAATATAAAGGTTGTGAGAACAGGGCAGAACAAAGTATAGATAAATGTGAAAAGTGGATAAGATAGAATAATAACATAAAGGCAGTATCAGAAACATTAGTAGAAAAAGGCAGTAATAAGATTAATGCAACATTAGAGCAAATGCTAGAGAATAGAACAATAGAAGAATAGAAAAAAGAAAAGAGAGGTCTAATTAAACTTAAACAAGTAGAAAAACTAGAAATAGAATTAATCAAAAAACAAAATTTTGATAGTAAAGTCACAAATTACTTAATAGAAGCCTTAACAAAAAACAAGAAAAGAAACAAAGACAAATATATACTTTATACAGATGGTGCATTATATAAAGAGAAAAAGAAAAATAATATAAGAAAGATAAGTATTAGTTGGGTGCAGGTTAGTAACAGAGAAGATTGGCTAGAAGAAAAAATGGCACTAGGACTTAAGGTTGGCCCTCAGTAACAATAGCAGAATTAGCAGCAATATGGTTAGCAATCTTAATCATACCAGAAGGGAAGCATATAGAGGTGCATACAGATAGCCTCACAGCATTAAGGCATATCAACAGAGCAATTCAAGAGTTAGAAGATAACAAAGTTTTGAAAAAGAAATACATGATATGGATAATAAATATTGTTGGTTTACTCAAAAACAAGAATAATAGAATAGAACTAATTAAGATTAAAAGTCATAGTAATGATAAGTGGAATAACAGAGCAGATATACTTGCAAAAAAAGGAACAACATGTGAAAAGATAATAGTTACAGAGAAGATCAAGTGTAACACAATAGAGTACCGTTTAAAATGCGAAAATAGAAAAGTTGACATATCAGCAAGCAGGGATGATAAATGACCTGATCATTTGCCCAAAATTTAAATGACCAAGTCATTTGGATAAATGACCCAGGTCATTTGGTCATTTGGTTATTTGGGTCATTTGCATATAAAGTAATTTTATTGGCCAGATAGCTAATATAAAAAGTTATTAAACACTGTAATTTCACTAATTTATGATCATAGCTATATATAAAAGTTAAAATTCTACTAAGTTAATCAATATTTATGTCTTAAATAAAGTTATTTGGAAGAACATAATGCATATATTTTAAAAATTTTATATAATTTGATTAACTTTTTACTATGCTATTTTTGTCTTTTATATTTATACAAAAAAATTTAAACTTTTTTTGTATAAAGGTAAAATACGAAAATAGTATAATAAAAAGTTAATCAAATTATATAAAATTTTTAGTATATATGCATTATGTTCTTCCAAATAACTTTATTTAAGACATAAATATTGATTAACTTAGTAGAATTTGGGCTTTTATATGTAGCTATAATTGTTAATTATATTTTATAAAAATTGCTTCTTGTATAATAATTAAGTTTAATTGACTAAAAGATATTAGATTATCAATTAACAAATGTTAAATGATCTTCTAAGATCATTTGGCTTTTGAAATGACTCATAACCAGTCATTGGTCATTTGGGTCATTTGGGTCATTTCAGGTCATTTATCATCTCTGCCAGCAAGACTTCTATGTAAAATAGTCATGAATGTCAGAATTGAAGCTAATTGGAGAGAAACAAACCCAATTCAAGCACTAGAGCCAGAAACTGAAAACACTTGATATAATTAGTCAAGCTTTTGAAAAGAGATGAATAGAACAAAAGGTGTACATTGCACAACAAGAAAACTTAGTACAAGAAGAGCAATAGCAATTAAATATATAATAGATAGCCTACTAATGTTAAAGGAACTAAATAGAAGAAAACCAGAAATATATACAATAACTGACTACCAAGTATGTCAAAAAGGTGAAAAGGAAACTCAAGCACATTTAGCAAACTGCATGGGACAAAAAAGCTTGTAGAAGAGAATCCAAAAGGTAGCAACAGTAGCAGCATAGAACAATCTGAAAAAAAGTGAAAAAACTAGAATTCTATCTCTAGTACTATATGAGGTACTTTTCAGAAAAACAGAAGCAGAAAAAATTACAAACAAAACAGTTTTGATAAAAAGACTAACAACAAATAAAGTTGAAAAAAGGATCAGTCAGATTCTAGATAGGCAGACAATACAGAAATATATAAATACAGTAACAAGAACAATATGGAATATATTCTATGACCAAGTATGGAGAGTTCAATGTGAGAAAATACAAGAATGAGAAAAGAAGGTTAATATAATAGGCAGAATGAAAAAAGGTACTTGAATCAAAAGAAGATCAGAAAAAAATAAAGAAGAATAAGGTAACAAAGGAAGAAGAAAAGGAAAAGAAAGCAGAAAAAATAAGCAGAATAAAGAAAGAAGCTTAAAAGTCAATTGATATGCTTGTTACAGAAGGAGGAAGACCCTTCTGGTATAGCTTTAAGTAGTTAGATGGCAGTCTATCTTTAACTAAGATAATGTAACAGGTTGCACTTAGGCACCAATAGGGTGGCCGAGTGATGCTAGACTTGAGTATTGGAAAATTTTATGTAATTATAGATGTATATAGTTTCAAGAATCTTAATAAAGTACTAGCGTAACTGCTTAAGGTTAAAAAAAAAAAATTCTACTTAATATTAAAAACTCAAAACATCTATACAAAGTGTAAGTAATATTACATATATATAGAAGAATATTAAAACTAATATTGTATAAAACTTTAATACAAGTTTATAATAAGACTAATAAATATAGAAAACTAAGAAACCAAAAAAACAAAAGTTTATTTAAAAATTTTAAATAAAAAGATAACATAAAACCTTACTTTCTTTTTCTTGTTTTATTTATTCTTTTTTCTTTTTTATTTCTTTTATTTTGTATTTTTTATTATCTTTATATCTTTGTATGTTTTTTTATATAATATTTTTTTTTTCGGTTTAGGTCGCAGATAAAACTGTCTGAGCTTTAATTCTTGCATGTAATTTTTATTTTGTAGTTTACAATCTTAGTATATCTTAGTATATAGTATATTAATATGTACAACTAAAATTACTAATAAAGATATGAGCAAGGCCTCACCTTAATACCAAAAAAAAAAAAAAATATAATATTTTTTTTATTTTTTTATAAAAAAATATTATCAGATTGGTAATATTCTATTATAAGATAATGATCAAATGTGCTCTCAGATCCTTATTTTTTTTAGAAAATTAGACAACTAATACAGACAAATTACTTGTAAATGCTTATAGAAGTAATTGTAAGATGTCAGCTCAGTATATTAAGTTTAAAAATATTCTAGTATTAGAGCATAGTATCTTAATAAGAGTAAAAGCAAAACTGTCAAAATTAAAAAAAATTTTTAATATACAGAATTTATAAATATATTACAGTGAATTTTATAAAATTTATATAAAATTTATATAACTCTATTTATAAAGTTATATATGTTATATAAATTTTTTATGTAAACTTACAAATTCAATGTAAACTTGTATAGTATAATTATAATTTAATATTTACATAACAATAATTTAATTACTTTAACTATTTTTCTATTTTTCAAAAGTGACTAAGGTAATTACTACTCAATATACGTACTAAGTAAAATGTTAAGCATGCTTGAAAACCTTTCTCAAACTTCCAATTTTAACTTTAAAGTCTAATCATAACGTTAATATTTATATATAGATTTATTAAATAACTATATAAATCTACATTGGGTTTATAAAGTTTTTATACATTTAAGTATATAAAAATTTTACATAAATCTATGCAAAAACATACTTGGTGATGTACATATAAAGCATCATAGGTGCATTTTAGTAAAAGTTCAAATAAATACGATTAAGACAAATTTTGTACAACAAACTTTATTTATAATCAATTTAAAACAAATAAGATATACTGTGTTTATTTTATATTAAAAAAATTAAAAATTATTCTTAATACAGTCTAACTTTGACACAATTATTGAAATGATAATAATGATAATAATGCCTAAATAGTAGTTAATTTTTTAATGTTATATAATAATTGGTAAAACAAAAAAGAAATTTGATTTTTATAAATGTTTTTTAAATATTTTAAATATTATGATTTAGTTAACAAGTATAGTTAAACTGCAACATAGATAAAAAACAAGTTTCACTAATAATAGTGAATTATTTCATCACTCTAATTTCACTAGCATCTTTATCAAAAATATATTAATCTGTCTTGCCTATAATTTTTTATATATGCCCGTGACTATTCCGGACCTAATCAACTTCTCTAGTTTTATGGTGCATATAAAGCACCATTACATTTGCAAACAAATTGTTACATATTGTACAGGCTTAATTTTGTTTTTATATAAACATCGGATCTACAAGAAATGGAAACGTGTATCCAATTACATACATTATCAAATCATTCTGGTTTTTTTTTTGACACACGGTTAATGATCTTTATTAGTAAAGCAAACAGAAGGGTATTGGTCCCTGGCTAGCCTAAATTTGATCGGTGATCTAAAGTAATTATTGGACCCAAAAGGCAGATAGCTTTGTTTTGGTGTAACGTTGCCATGAATAAATTTAGTGCACTTTAAAATTTTTATACAAATCACGTACATTTGTTTTCATTCCTTATTTATTTATTACTTTATTTCATTTTTTCATTTTTGCGTAAAAAAAAAAAAATAGACATGGATAGTTGGTATGAAGTGCTCACAGCATGCGATCCAAGTCTAAATGTTGTTCAATCTATAACAGCCATCGCTTTCGATCCATATCAAGAACTTCTATGGACTGGAAATGATAAAGTAATTGTTGATTTTCAAAATTTAAGGTTTTTTTCTTTAGTTTCTTTACAATGAGTGAATCTAACACTGTATTATTTAAGAATATAAAATGTTAATAAATACTTAATAATCATAAGGGTCGTGTGATTTCTCATTTTGGTGATGGCTTACAACGATATACGAGTTTTAGATCACACTTGTCTCAAGTCCGTCAGTTATTAGTCAGTGATAAGGGTGTGATATCATTAAGCCCAGATTCTATTAGAATGACCAATCGAAGAGGTTTGGTCAGATGGACTATGAGGTGTGACTATTCTGCTTGATCCTCATTCGGATGTGTTTGTTATAAATATTGATTATTTGTTTCTCCGACACTTTCTGGATCAAAATATTTATAAAGTAATGAAGATACTTCAAATTTACATTGCATGGCTTATACTACTATTCCAAATTCAGAGATTTTGGCTGCTGGAAAACAAAATAATATGCTTGTTATTAATGTTGCAAGAGGTTCTGTAGTTAAAAAGGTTATTGATAAAACATTATAAATACTTTAATCTTTGATTTATAAACGAGACATTTGCTGATTTCTGGACTCTTCGCGGATCAGGTTGAATCAATGAATGAAATTGTGGTTATGCGAAAATCAAGACTTGTTTGCTGTGGTGCAACTTCTGGTGAAGTGATTTTGAGAGATCCGAATACTTTCAGAGTTGAACACAGAATACGTGCACACACTGGAACTATATCTGATATAGATACTAGTGGAAATTTGTTACTAACTTGTGGATTTTCTGTCAGGTTTGCAATGTCTAAGCAATAGTTTATAAGTTATTTATACAATATATTCTCTATTTTATTATTAATTTGATTACTATTTTGTTATTAATTTCATCGTCAATTTTATGATTCCTTTTATCGATGATTTATTGATAATCTTTATTAATAATATTTACTTGTATTACTAATTCTGATACAATTAATTTACTATTAATTTTTATTATTAATATATGGACATCAATATTGCAGACATGGGAACCTTATAATTGATCCTTTAGTTAAATTATATGACATTAGGACAATGCGTCCTCTTGCACCCATCCCTTTTTATTCTGGTCCCTGCTTTATCAGAATGCATCCCAAACTTTCAACTACTGTTTTCGTCGTGTCTCGATCTGGCCAATTCCACGTCTGTGACGTAGGAAATGTATCTGACATTCATTTTTATCAGGTTTTTTTTTTTAAAAAAATAAAAATCTTATTAGCAAATTTATAAATTATTGTAATTTTATTCACTTATTTCAATTAAAGGCAAATACTGCTAGTTATATAAATGCTTTTGACCTTTCAACATCTGGTGAAACGCTTGCGTTTGGGGACAGTGCTAGCATTGTACATCTTTGGAGCGATAGAAAGGGTTCAAAAATTAATGCTTACTCTGGTAATGTTGAGTTACCTGCTGTCCCTTCTCCAGCTCCGAATGTATTTATTGGTGAAGATGAGTATGTTTATTTTTATTTGTTGATTTTTTCATTGCATTTAAATCTTGCATTAATTACTTTCAGTCCCTTATCATTAATCGGAATGCCTTATTACCGAGAACCATTGCTTTCTGTGTGGCCATCTAATATGATGTTTGAAGTCGGAAATCCACCTCCAAAAATAGATCCCGACATCATGAATAATATGAAAATGATTGATTTTGTTGGATACGCCCCAAATATAGGTAACAAAAAACGAAATCAAGCTGTTAGATGGTCAAAGAAAAAAAATAAAGCCGGAACTCCAAAGTTTCGTTCTGAAAAGGAAAGAGAATTGCAATCTGGAAAAGAGTCCAAGGTAATCTCTAACCTCTTGATAATTATTGTAATACTTTTTTACAACAAAATATTGAATGGCTTTTTATAGGAACCGATCAATTTATTTGAAGAAGAAGCTGAATTGGGTGCGATTGGCACTAGAATGCCAAAATATTATAAACGAGTGGAAATTAAATATAGTAGATTTGGCATAGATGACTTTGATTTTGAGTAAGTCTTTAAATATTCTCATAATTCATGTATATTTATTTATTTATTTATAAAATCTATTTTTCTTATTTCTGAACAGGTTTTACAATAAAACTCGTTATGCAGGATTAGAGACACATATAACAAATTCATATTGCAATTCGCTATTGCAAGTTTTATTTTTCACTCCAGCTCTTTGTTTGATAACTAAATCTCATATTGGTTCTTCATGTTCAAAAGAAAATTGCCTTTGTTGTGAGCTTGGGTTTTTGTTTCGTATGTTAGAAGATGCTGTAGGAAGAAATTGTCAAGCTTCTAATTTTTTGAAAGCTTTCAGTACAATTCCACAAGGTAGGTTAGGATATAATAAACATGAGGTCATATAAAAACGTCTTATTTATATGATTTCGTTTGATAAATCGACTTCTTGGATAAACGATGTGCAGCGGTAGCTCTCGATCTATTTGAACCGGATAAGCCTGACGAAAAGTCTCCATATTCAATGCTTATTCAGAGTTTTAATCGTTTCATCCTTGAACAACTTCATCAGGAATGCAATTCTGATAATAATCCACGATTGTTAAAGTCTTTGCCTTTGGAAAAAACTTCTCTTTCGGTTATACAACAATTGTTTGGAATGCAAATGATTTCGGTTAACAAGTGTCAATGCGAAGCGGAAACTGAACGCAATATCACTTCATTTGTTGTTGATTTAAATTATTCTATAAAAGTAGGCTGAATAGTCTTATTTTATTATTAATTGCTATTTAACTGAACTTATCTCCCAACCTAGTTTAATGTTATTCAGAATTCAAAGGACAAGCATACTGCACCAAAGTCATTTATAGACATTTTACGGTCAAGTATTAGGCGCGAAACCCAACCAAAAGCATGGTGCAATAATTGTCAACAATATACTCCAATAATCGCTAAAAAAATACCAAAAAGTTTACCTCCCGTTTTGACAATTAATTGTGGTCTTGGAACATCAGTTCCATTAGATTATTGGAGATCACTTGAGAAGAGTAAACCTTGGTTACAAAAAAGGTATTTTATCTTTAGAATATTAATTAAGATTACTGAATGTGTCTTTTTATCTAACTTTAAGCTAGAATTTCTATGAGGCTAGAACAAGATGACTTAATTATAAAAGAATTAGCACCAGATGCAGTTGTTGATACTAGTTATACAGGAAATTTAGATAATGCAAATTATGAAATAATGGTTAATAATTTATATATGTATATGTGTAATTTTGAATGGTTATAAAATATATATTAATATTTTAAATTTATATCTTAAAAGGCAATCATTGCTCAAGTTAGGATTGAAAAAGAAACGCCACATTTAGTGGTTTTTATAAAAGGTTATATATCTGTATATTAACTATATTTTCAATAATAATTTTGATCTTCATTTATTTTCAATATGGATTAACAAGACTAATTTATCAGTTCCTGACAATGAACTAGAATCAGGAAGTAAAGGTCCTTGGTATTTGTTTAATGACTTTTTAGTCAGAAATGTGACAGAACAAGAAGTCTTCAATTTTCAGGGGTTATGGAAAGTGAGTGAAGATATTTGATATATTTGTAATACGTTTGTTGATGCTTTATTGAATTTTTATATCTGATACATATGTTGTACATTTAGACACCAGTAGTTTTATACTATTCAAGAATTGATATTACTGATCTGATAGATATAAGTGCCCTACCTTCTGAAATTGATAAATCTATACTATTCAAAGATATTTCAATATCCAAGTTTGTGGTTTTAAATTTCTTTTTGAAATACAAATGGCATATATTTAATTTAATCAAATTGTTATTTATTAGGCATCGTTTAACTAATAACAAAACAGCGCACTTACTAACACCAGAAGAATTGCCACAACCTGGAACATTAGTCGCAATTGATGCCGAATTTGTTGTTTTGAACCAGGTACATTTTTCAGATCAATTATTCAAAATTTTACTACAGTATATTTCATAGGTTTACCCCTTTATATAGGAGGAGACAGAGATTAGAAGTGATGGAACAAAATCGGTTATTAGACCAAGCCGTCTAAGTTTAGCTCGTGTTAGCGTTCTACGTGGTGAAGGACCAAAAGAAAGTATACCATTCATTGACGATTATATTGCAACATCAGAACCCGTCGTTGATTATTTAACTGAATTTTCTGGGATTGAAGGTTTACCGTCTTTATTATTAAAATGTCATAAATTATTTGCAAGGTTGGTTATATTTAACACATATCTTTGTATTATCTATCGATATTTAGCTGGTGATTTGGATATCTCAGCATCTAAACATACGGTAGTCCCCCTCAAGGTACTGCTTAACAACATAACTTTAACATTCGTACTTTGTTCTCGTAATTTAATTCTAAATAATTTATGAATGTTAACTAGGTTGCTTATAAAAAATTACGATTACTTCTTGATCTTGGTTGTGTCTTTGTCGGTCATGGATTAAAAAAAGATTTTCGCATAATAAGTAATTATTTTTAATATTATTTTTAAATTGTGTAGTTTATTTTAGAGGTTGGAACCGTTTTTAATAATTCGAGTTTATCACATTAATTTTGGGATATTCTAGAATTTATCAAAATTTATTTGGATAAAACTTGTGATAAATATGTGATAAACTTGAATTATTAAAACCGGTTCTGACTTTAGGTTTGATTGTAATTTACTTATCGTTATTTATTCATCCATATTTTAATTATAAAGATATATTAGTTCCTTCAGAACAAGTAATTGACACTGTTGATTTATTTTATTCAAAGAATCGAGCAAGGTATTATCTTGAACCTAAATAAGTTGAATATTTAGCCCAAGTGATTTGTTTCATTGATTTTTATGGTCGTCTAGGAAAATATCACTTCGATTTTTAGCTTGGTATTTATTAAGACAAGATATACAAACGGAGACACATGACAGTATTGAAGATGCTAGAACAGTAAGTTATTTTTAAGCCGTATAACGATTATAGCTTCTATAGTCTTTCTTTTTTAAATGCTTACCACATTCTTGTTCATTCGCATCTGTTAATAAAGGCATTAGCTATCTATAAAAAATATTTACAATTTAAGTCTGAAGGTATATTTGAAGAAGTGCTAGAAGATATTTACAACGAAGGTAAAAAATACAATTGGAAACCCATCCCTGGAGCATTTCCTGCTATAAGGTATTGAATTATCATTCAGTTGATCATCGCATAGCTTGTCATTATAGTAATTATCGCGCTTTTTCGTACAATCCCAGAGTAGAGTTTAGAACCGGGTTATAGTTAACCTTGTCAAACCGGTTGAATATGTAACCTCTAAAATCTGTTACTATTACACAGAAAACATAAAATTTAACACATTATTATTATATTGTGAAAATAAACACCCTTTTTTTCTTACTAATTTATCTAAATGCTCAATCTCGCTAATCTGGATTTTTAAAAAAAGTTACTAACTTTCGGAGGCTACCATACGATTATCTATTGCGAAAATTTTGGCTAAAAATTTTCCTTTGTATAAGCTTCATTATTACTTTGCTTTGCTAATATGTAATACACTGTGGGTTCGATACGTTCGATAGTACCCCGGTAATTCGTAGCGCCGGGTTCGGGTTATGTAATGTGATTGCGTTGCATGAATTGCGTGATCGTAGATAGCATACAAGTGATTAAAAGTCTACGTACGTGCATATGTTATTATGAAAAATGTTTTAATAAATTAAAATACATTTTTCCTTTTGTAATACCTCCATTAATAATAATAAATTATTTTGCATAATGATTTCTAGCTTATTTGGATGCTGCCAAGGGAAAACCGACGAACCAAGCATTAGGGATTGGAACCGTTTAACCGTTTAAAAATTGCTTCATAGTTCCAGGCAGAATTATGTTGGTCATGGGCCGGGATTATTTTTAATGCCGGCCAAATTAAACGGCAGTTTGCTTCCAGAAGAATGACGATGATAAATTTTCCCAAGATGGCTTTCTGGGAACAAACTGGACGAAAAATATAATTGAAGGCCCGATGACAGGTTTTCCCTTGGCAGCACTTATATAATTCTGAGTATTAAATTGTATTTTTACGGAACTGATTTGGGTGGTTATGCTTGAGGGGTTAGGGAAAACCTGTCATCGGGCTTTCAATTACATTCTGTGTTTAGTTTGTTTCCAGTATAGATGCAGACATACATTAGTGCCGTATCTGATTTTAACGTCAATTGACGTAACTCAAAGACGTGACGATACGTCAAAAAGTCATAACTAACGTTTGCCATAACACCTGACTAGTGATGTGTACTATAGTACTGTGCGGTACGCACTGTACATTAAAATTTTTCAGGAATCATATAAATGGCATATCACTACACCATAACACTTAAAATGTACCGTAAAACTGACTCATACCATCATATTTGACTTATGTCATAACATTCGGTAAAAATTTGCAGAACGATTCTTCGACAGTGTTCCAGGAATTAGTAACTAGGTTACGGCAAAGGTCAATTATTATGATTTACGTCATCACAGCATTTGACGTGACGACACGTCATTTAGGCGTAAACATATATCAACCATTGCGTTTTATGTCAACTGATGCGTTCTACGTCAACTGTCGCGTCCTATGTCGTTATAGCATTTTTGACGTGATCACGTCAATTGGACGTAACCATGCGTCTTCAAATGTCTGCATTTATAGTTTCCAGATTGCCGTCTAGAGAAAATCTATCATCGGGCTTTTAATTATATTTGTAAAATATAATTGATTAAACCCGATGATAAGATGGCATTCTGGGAACAGATTGACAAAGAATATAATTGAAAGTCCGATGACTGGTTTTCCCTTGGCAGCACTCATTTGAGCTTAATAGAAAAACTATATAAAAGGTCAATAGGGATAGATCTCTTTGAACTGTTAGTAGTACCTTTGATAGTTTTTCTTTTGTACTCTTCGATATATTTCTTTGTACCTTCTGTCACTATGCTTGTGATTTATAGGTGCAGACTTATTTACGTCATTAGTTACAGGTTAATTGTGTCTTATTTTATAAACTGATTTTATATATATATATATTTCTAAACTGCATTTTAGAAAATTTATCTGGAATTTTGATTGTATTTGTAATTTTTTAAATAAAACTAAAATAGGGTGTGGTGACCTAGTGAAGTGGTCAGGTTGTCAACCCTCCAAGTGGTAGGTTGGGTGTTCAAATCCCATTGATAATGAAAATTTGAATAATCATCTATATAATACTTGTATTATGTTACCTGTTACTAATGATTGGGTTAGGATACCTGTAATGGTGATCACATCAGCATGACTGGCAAGTCATGGGATATTTGTGTAACAGGTCACATGACATTGTCTTTTGAAACAAGGTTGTGGTTATACAAAGGAATGCAAATCAGCAATTAGGTGGTGTAAACACTAGATAAGTTTTTGTGATCATATAAATCTGTTGAAATTGGATAACAAGAAGTCCATTTGGAAAAACCTAATTAAAAAGGTAGCCAGATCTTTGACAGTCCTATTGTAAAGATTAGCTTTATGAAACAGATACCAAGATTGAAGTAGTCAGATAGGTAAAACCCTCTAGGTGGGAGGTATTACCAACCAGACTACTGAATTGAGCTGAAGAAAAAGAATATTAGGCTGACCTGATATACTAATGAACCAGTTATAAGTCCTATTGGGTTATCTGAATTGGGAATTTGGTAAATTGGTAGAGATATACTAAAGTATTTTGGATATGTTGTGAAGTAAATGTTAGGGTTTGTATGAACTTTACAAGGGCATAACAGTTTAATAGTCAGCCCTGATTGCAAGTGTTGATTCTAATATAATGATATCTAAATCAGCTATAAAAATAAGTACAGAAGGCTCTAGGGGGTTTACCTTAAGGATAAATTAGTCCTAAGGTTGAGATGATGATCTAGGCATCTGGAATAACCCAGTAATGTTAATACAAGTTACAGATTCAGAGGATTTAAAGTAGAACACCCAAGCAGGAGTGTTAGGTATGACAATTGGTAGAGAACCTTCTGGTGGACTTCTTAAATAGATAATATAGAAAAGTTATACATGTAGCCAATTGTATGCTCTTTTGTAGTGGTTCATTGAACCACAATATTGATAAGTGATTAATAAAAGTCAAAAGACCAAAGAGGTCACCTTAAAAAAAAATAAAATAAAATAAAAAAAATAAAACTAAAATAATACTATAGGAATGAACTTGTTCAGTTATGGTCAGTTATTACTATCTAGCTCCTTATAGCCAGCAGTAAAAGGGACTAGAGGCTTACATCAGGTCCTGCAATCCAGATCTGAAGCAAAATTTTATAATTACAGACTAGGTTAGATTGAAAAATTTGTAAAACTTTATAATTACAGGCCAGTGCAGGTCTAAAATTTTGTAAAATTATATAAGAAATTTTTGCATGTTAGACTGGACTGAGTTGAAGAAAAAATTTAATATATGTAGGTCAGGCTGGGTTGAACTAAAAAAAAAATTTAATATATATGAATTGGGTTGAGCTGTCAAAAAAATAGTAACTCTAAATACAGATTAGGTCAGATCAGAAAAAAATTTTAACCTTAAATATAGGTCAGACTAGGCCTTAAAAATAGGCAATTCACAGATTTCTAGAAGGGACTGTCCCAAATAAGAAATTTTGTATTATATAATATTCTGATCTTGTATAATGTTTTTAATCAATAAAATTATGAATTTTAATAATATATGGGGTGTCTTTAATTAAATAACTCAGATTTATATTCTTTAATAAATGAATTTTTATTAAATTCATATATATTTTGACATGATTAATATTTTTCAATTATAAATGAAAGTTGATTTACATAATGAAAAATAGAGTTAATGTAGAAGAATGTAGAAGAAAAATTACATGAAGCTAAGCATATCATAAGATTATCTGATAGTTACCTGTTACTTTTAACTAATCAAAATTATAAAATTTAGTTAATCCGATTAATCCAAAAATCAAAACAAATAATTAAACTTAATTATCTCAAAATAAGATATATAAATCTGGGTTGTTTTAATTAGAACCACTTTATATAAATAATTTAACTTATATAGAAGGATTTTCAAAATTCTGAATTAGAATATTTCAGATTTAGTCTAGCATTTAGTTAGCATTTAATAATACAAGTTAATCATTTTTGGGTTAAAATTATTAACTAGACAGCTTTACTTAATGAGTGAGCTATGGTTTTATTAGTAAAACTTTTAGTGATCTTAGACAAAATTAGTTGATTTTGGTCCTGCTAATTATGATTCTAATGTATTCTGACTCAGAATTTTAGAGATTCTTCTGTATGAGTTAAATAATTCAAATTTAATATATTAATATTAGGAGAAAACTATATTATACTTTCAGAGTTAATTGCAATATTTTTTTAATTTCTTACTTAAATTTCAAATATTTAACTGTAATTATTATGTTATAAATAGAGATAGCAAGACAATAATATAATAATTACTATTTTTTGTTCTAGTACTTACACATAGTATTACTAATTATTATTTATGATGAATAATTATTATTATGTTTTGTAAATATAATTTGGAAAACTTAACAATCTGCTGATCAGTTGTGACTTGCTTATATTATACAGCAGAGACAGTATACAATCCAAAGAGAATCTCTTGTTTGTAATTAATTATAAATTAAATTATTTATATTGAATTCAATTGTTATAAATATAATCTCTTACCAGCTTTAATATATATAAAATATTAATGATCTTAGCTATACTTATATTACAATTCTTTATTTATTATTACTTATTATATAAGAAAAAATAATTAAAAATTATTGAATAATTATTTATTAAAATTTTCATATTTATTAAATAAAAAAAATCCCAAATTTAAAAATATATTCTTTGTATGTTTTAATAAATTATCTATTGTTGTAGCATTATTGATTATTGTTTCAGCATTACTCAAATTATCTTTATTCATATTTTTAGTATCATCATCAATAAATTCATTTTTGTCTAATTTTTTTTTATCAAACTTGTTTTTAATGCATTAATATTTTTTTTAATTTTGTTTTGAAAATAATTCTAATATATTAAACATTTAAATTGATCTTTTGTAGATATTAGTTATAATAATCATGCTCACATGTAAAACATTACTATTATTCAAATAGTTAACATAG